ACTTCCGTAGTGATACTGCCTCGGAAACCCAAGGAGGGGTCGCTATGAGTCGGGGCCGACTCGACGGCAAATAACAACAACATTCCTATGTAAAGAATCAAGGTGCCCAGAATATAAAAACCTAAACAAAACTCCTGGACCTTATGTTTAGGCATTGTCATGTCTGACCAGTTTAGAATGATAGGGCAATGTGTCTTCAAGCATATAGTTGTCCCACCTAGCCTAGTCTACTCCTTAAAAAAATATATATATATAAAAACAAAACAAACAAACAAAAAAACGTCTTCCCTTCCTTGGTATAGTCACTGATTTAGAATATGCCATTTGAAATGTTTCCACCACTGTGGAAGGAATAACTGATGACATTGCCAATATTTATAGTTATTACTATTTTAAGTGGAATAATTAAATGTTGTGTAAAAATTACTGCTAGTGCTTTGATCCAGAGAACTAACGATACCAATGAATCATCTCATATATATTAATGACATTTACTCTGTCAAAGGACTTGAGTCCCCATTGTAAAGGGTTCCTAATTACATAACAAACAAGTAGGTTCCTCTAATGTGGCTCTACTCCATACTAAGCTTTCATAAAAGGATTACAGAACACTGGGTTCTAAAGTGAGGCATCGTGAAGACAGTGGATGATGATGCTAAGACAAGCAGCCATCCAAGAGGTAATCAAAATGGAGAAGTCCATGCAGAACAAAGCATACCAACCTACGTGTGATCAAAGGATTTTAAATAAAATCTGTGATCAAAAGCAGGGCATGTATAAAAGCTTAAATTCAAAGGAACTTGGTGTGTTTAAATAGAGCAGTCTGAAACCCAAGGCTTAACTCTATTTTAAAGTCTTGACATGAGTCTAAAATCCATATTGTATTTAAAAGCTACCTTTTCTAACAGCAGTTCCTCTAACCTTGATGCTGACATAACCTTCATGCTGATCATATACCCTAAAGGAGATACTATTTTCTCTGAGGTCTGGCAGGCGCAGGATATCATAATCTATTCCCAAAAGGTCTTTCCACTATGGTAAAACAGATGAAAGACTTGAAGGTCTTGATGTACAGCATTATTGATAAATCTTTACAACTGACCTCCAAGAACAGACATGATTGAGAAAGTAATTTTTAAAAAAGTTTTTATAGTAATTTGTATGGAAGTTTACAGAGCAAATTCTCCCTCCATACAGCAGTTCATACACAATTTATCTCATGACACTGACTGCAATTTCCCACAATGTAACAGCTCTCTTCCCACTTCTCCCCCACACCTCTTGCCTGTGTCTTTCCCTCCCTGCACTCTCACGAGAATGCAATTTTCATAGCTGGTTACCCAAAACAACCTGTCTTGCCATTGTCCTGTGGCCATCCTATAATAAAATGCACAGCATGTGCACTTGCAATCATGCAATCCCATATATATGTTATCCATCTATCCTTGCTAAATCCTCACTTTTAACCTTTGACTCCCTTGATTGTCTTTCAGCCAATTGTGATTTTGTAACTTTTAGTTCTTGCTCCAACTGTACAAAAATTATCCAGCAGAGTGGCCACTTTCACCCTGGGAATTTGGATGTCTTCCTGGTTCAGAGCATCACTATCCCTCAATAAACCTCTTTTGCTTTTACTTAGGTAGACTCCATAACATTTGCTGTATGACAGAGCACTCAGTAGTGGCAGCCGGGCACATGTGGTTCTTCTGGTCTCGGGCTACTGGAGGCTGTGGTTCACATGGTCCATTAGTTTGGATTGTTTCTTTGGGTCTTTGATTTTCTTCACTCTTCTTTGCTCCATACAGGGAGAGACTAATAGTTACTTCTTAGGTGGCTTTCAGAAGCTTGTAAGACCCTAGTCACTACTCATCAAAGTAGAATGGAATGTAGAATACTGTCTTTGTGGACTATGTTACACCAATTGAGGTAGATGTCCCCCACGACTATGGTTCTAAGCCCCAGGCCAGTTTACTCAGTCCCTCAAGGATGCTCATTATGGTTAAGAAGTTTTCACACCTTTGCCCCCTATGCTCTACTATATTCACAGATATATTTGCAGCACATACAAATAAGTGTGTAAAATAGCCTCTGCCAAGTTCATGGGTGGCAGTACTCATGGGTGTAACTCCAATACACCATCTGGTATCTGTTCAGCTTGCATATCTACCTATGCAGCTACGTATAAATTATTGTTTGTTGTTACTGTTATTG